CGAAGGCAATTCACCGCGTGGTTCGCCCCCATTTCAGCCCGCCGTGAAAAGGGCAGGTCCCTCCGCGGGTTAAGGGTACATCTCAGAGACATTCGGGTGAGACTGTAGACTGGTCAGGCTGCCCCCGGCTAGAGACCAGAGATGCGCAACTGAGCAATCTCCGGTCCCCTACCCATCGTGTTGGGAGTCTCCAAACAGGCAGGACCCTCCGTAGGTCAATGCGCCACAGAAGAAAGACACACGCCAAAAGTCACCGATCTCCTTCTCTATGGTAGGTGATGTACGGTAACAACAGAGTTCTTTTACCACACACTCCGCCACCATTTTAGCCCACCCCTTGCAGGACGAGTCCTGCTGCTGGTTGGGGCTAAGATTGAGAGACACCTGAGCCCTAACCCCTAGGCAAGAGAAGGAACGTGCAATGCCTGATAAGCGCGCGAATCTATCATGCTATCCCCTGTTAAGACTAGAGATGCTATTGTGCTGTCCCATCCAAACCCGTCTTCATAATTTCTGAGTCTCAATAAATTTTGGACTGCCGCTTTATCTTTGTCTGGATTATAATGAATGTTCCAATGTAAGGTGCTTTCATAGTTATGTGTTTCATAAATACGTAAAAATTCTAAACCTTGAAATTCAGTCAGTACTAATAACTAGTTATTCAAACTGTCAAAGTGAATGGCACTAATAATATTGAAAGTTGTTGAGATTCTATTAAGATGCGATTATTAGATAAGCCTTAGCAAACTTTGATTTTAGGACGTTTTGTGGCTAACAAGAAGGAACAAAGGAAATTCAACTGTTCTCACAGAAGTAACATAACTTAAAGCGTCATAAGTTATTATATTAACGTTCAGCTAGCACATACTATACGTGAGTCCTATTAATATTGTTCGCTTTTTTTATGTATTATTATTTATTTAAACTTTATTGCAAAATTGGTGGACTTAATAAAATTAGACATTCTCTAGTAGTCAACTGGAGAGTTATGAATGAAGACTTCAGTAAGGCGGTGCTACACAATAATTAAAGTCAATATAGATACATAAAATAATACAATTTTCCTGATCTAATTTGAGCCTGGTCTACTGTATTTCAAGCTCGTGGCTATTGCAACAATATACATAAAAAAGGAAGTAGATAATAATAAAGTCAAGTAAGCAGGTTTGTTCATAAATCATATATATACAATATATTTCGAACAGCGAGGTGGTGCATTAAATGGATGTTCATGATGAAATTAATACGAATACAGTTTTTCAAATTAGGTCTACATATAACTCCCCAGTTTTGACGTAGTCGAGATCTCTTCGCAAATGGAGGCACATTTGACAGATATCGAATCGGCAATAAAATGTTTATTGGTATAATGGAACAGGGAAGTTCCATTTCGCCGAGTAAAGTGATTATGTTAGCGTAACCTCATCATTCTTTTGTTTTGATTGTTCTGCATCAGGCGAACGGATTATCCTTATTATATTAAGTAAATTAAAAGGGAACATGAAACCACGAAACGGACACAAATTGCCTATAAATAAGGAGAAGTCATAATTTATAAAATAATGTTGTTTGAACATTGTAATTTTATGAAGTGAAGAAGTAGTTTATTATTTCATTATTTTTAACAAACTACTTAATTCACTATTATAACTGTAACAATATTTATTTAAATTAACTCTTTTTACATTTGGAAATATCAAAATGAAAGATTTCTGAAATTATAAATGAAATGGCATAACTAAGAACGTTTATCGTAAGTATTCCTTATGCATAAGACAATCAGCCAGTTGCACAATCGTCCATTAAAATTTTCAATGGTTTAAAGTGTCATGACCCATACAATTTGACATTCATTAGAGTTTAAAAGCGTCATTAAACCTTAAGGGTCATTTGTGCAACTGACAGAATGTCTATTATTGAAAATACTGGTCGTATAGAATTTACATTTAATTAAATACATTTAATAAATATGATATATATATCATATTTACTTCAAAAAGAATAATATCTATACAAATACCTAACACTTTTTATTTCAATTTTTCAATGCATGCTTGATGGCACGAATTTTAACGGAAAGTTATAACATATGACCTCTGCAAACGGAGATTCAGGAACGTCTAGTACGTTGTACCAAAATAGAAATTCTTCGTCAATTCCAAATTTTCTACTTCGAGATCGGGACAGCTATCCCGTATGGAAATTCAAAATGATGAATTAACTACTTCACGAAAAGTTGTGGGAAACAATGGAAGAATATTTCAGTGAAGATGCTACTCCCATTAGTGTGGAAATAAGGAATAATGGGAAGGCTCTTTCTAAAATTTGTTCGACCCTTGATGGTTTTGGATGGTTGCATTCTAGCAAAAACAGCTGCTGAAGCGTGGAAATCCTTACGTGATATCTATGAAGATAAAGGTATGGGACGCAGATTATCATTGGAAAGAAAGTTGTATTTCTTTAACGGATTATTAGAATATATAACAGTATATAAATGCCGTACTATGTACTGTCAAAGAACTTGCTGATATTAGGAAAATAATAGAAGACACATCTGTAGCAGCTATATTGCTTGGAGGTCTGACTCCTAAATTTGACGCACTCATTATGGCCTTGGAAAATAACAACGTAGAAGTTATTACAAATTTAGTCAAAAGCAAACTTTAAAATGAAATGTATAAAAAGGATTTTGGTGATGCTATGATTGTAAAGACAACCACAAAAGACCCGATCATCCTTTACTTAAAAAAAAAAGAGTTAACTAAAAGTTCTTCGATTGTAAATTCTTCACTACTACCGATAATAAGGACATATAGTATGTAGATTCAGGTGCTACAAAACATATATTCCCATTCCGCGCCCGACGCTCCTTTCGAGAGCCCGTGCGTTTAGTTGTGCTACATATCACCTCACTCAGTCTTAACAGAATATAGTGATGAGATCACACTATATCGATAACCTGTTAAGGAAGTTGTCATCGTCGGTATGGATAAATATTTAGTTAGATCAGAATCAAGCAGCAGTCTTAACTCGAACAGATCTGCCGAAGTTTCAGCCGAAGATTGGCGTGTACTCAAACGTATCGTTTGGATACTCGAAACAATCAATATTCGCATGGCAAAAATGATAATGCAAATACAAGAAATCAATTTGAAGATTTTTCTGTTGACGCTACGGATGAAGACTCAAAGTTAAAAGAAGCAACAGCTACTCCTAAGAAAACAGGACATATTCCACCCATTATTTTGGAAATGAAGAAAGATTGGACTCTCGAAGCACTGCGAAACATAATCTTGGGATTTTGTAAACAATTTCACCTTCAATACAGAAATGGTAACAAAGTTGCTGTTATTTGTTATTCTTCGCAAGCACATCAAGCCACTAAAGAAGGTCTTCGTAATCAAGGTATTTCATTCATTCCTTACTTACACTCGCAAAGATGAAAAATTACCTAAAATTGTGATAAAAGGATTGCTAGCTGAACTTGAAAAGGAACTGCATTTAGAACTAGAAAACTTGAATTTAAAAATATAATAGTTAGTAAACTTAAGTCCCAGAAAGAATTATCCTCCTTTCTAATTCAACTACAAGCAGGAGCTGATGTTTTAAAATTTCGAAAAATTGAATATCTACTTAATTGTGTCATAACTATACAAAAATTCAAACCAAATCATACTTTGTTGACTCAGTGCTATAGAAGTCAGTGCTTTGGACATTCATCTAGAAACTGCAACATTCATCTAGAAACCCAAGATGTGTGAAATGTGCTGAATCGCATACCACATCCGAATGTCCCAAAAAAAGGAAAGCGAAACCCCTGGGTTTTAATTGTGATAAAGATCATCCAGCTAATTACAGCAAATGTAGTGCAAGAATTGCCTACATTGATCGTACTCAACGCCAGAAAAATTTGGAGCGTAATCACCTTCCTATAGTTTCCATACGCAAAGAACTTATACCTAACATGATGACGCAATGGAAATCATGGGCTTCAGTCGCTGCTACAAAAGTTAATGATAATAAAGAAAACAATAATTTTAAGCAAATTAGTAACAACAATCACACTAATGATCCTGCTGTCAAAGAGATGCTAGAAATATTAACCGTAATCAAAAGTTTAAAACATCAATTTATAAACTGTAACTCCTCACTGGAGAAGGTCATGCTTGTTCTCTGACGACTCGGTTATTATGTCTCAATTCACAAAATAAACCTACTTTCTTGGAACGTCAATGGTGTTCGTAATAAAATTCATGAACTTTTAGATTTTGCCGTATGTACTGTGTCTGCCAACATCATAGCTTTAAGTGAAACTCGTCTTACTGAAAACATTGTTTTACATACGCCTAATTTCCATTTTGTTACCGACAGGACAAATATCCTAATGGGAAAGGTCAAGGTGTCGCAGTGCTTGTTACATCAAATTAAACATAGTTGTATAAAATTACCTCTCACAGCTTACATCGAAGTGATTGGCATAAGTTTGCATCTGTGTGGTATTCAGCATGTAATAATATCAGCTTACTAGTCTCCTAACTTGCCTCTACGGCACAGTGATCTTGATGCATTATTGAAGGTTGGTCCTCGTGTCTTAATAGCTGGGGATTTCCATGCCAACCATAGTTACTGGAATAGTAGTTACACTAACACGAGAGGCCGAACACTTTTTCGACATATATTGGCAAATGACTATACTATCCTAGCACCCGATACTCCAACTCAAGTAAACTACTCCACTAAGCTTATGCCAACAAATCCAGATTTAATTATCTGTTCCAACATAGATTATATTAGCGATGCTGAGACTTTTACAGCACTGTCTTCCAATCATTTTCCTGTGAGTCTTAGTATTAGTGGTCAATTAGAACATTTAATAAAGGCTACGTCCTTCTGTTATAGTAATGCGAACTGGAAACATTACCGCTCCAAATTGGATGAAAATATTGTACTTAGGCCTACATTTTTTAAAACGTAACGTAAACGTATGATTTAATCATTACACAGATAACTTATATGATTTAATGCGCAACGCTAGAGATTTGTCAGTCCCCATGTATGTTCCGAAATCTAAAACGACTTCCTTACTCCCATATCATATTCGTAAAATTATTCAATATAAAAATTATATGTGTCGACTAGATAACCGTTTGCTAAATGGATATTATAAGAAGCATAATCGACGTAAAATAAATCAACTGTGTGACCAAATAAGATTTCAAATTAGTAAACATCTCGATACTGTCTGGGATAAAAAACTTTTGAAAATTGATAACCCTTATTCAAATTTATGGAAATTGTTTCGATCCTTAAAGCCTAAATCTACAAATTTATCCTCTTGATGGAACGTTAGCTTCTACCACTGAACAAAAATGTGGTGCTCTTGCTTTAGTGTTCGACGAGAATATGGAGCTTACCTTAAATTGGTCAAACAAAGATCTTGCCGATGAAGTCAACAACAGTTTATTCATAGTTAACAACTATCAAATAACCAAATTAAATCAACCACTGAAAACACGTAAAGCTGCAGGTGACGAAAATATCCATAATTTACTTCTTAAGAATCTTTCACAAAAGGCAGTAATATTTCTCACTCAAATATTTAATGGTTGTCTTGTCTACAGTGGATACTTTCCTAAGGCATAGGAAAGTTGCTAAACTCATTCCCATAAAGAAACCTGGTAAGGATGCAACAGTACCATTAAACTATCGTCCTATCAGTCTTTTACCATCCCTAGGCAAACTCTTTGAAAAACTTGTTTTTACCTGGTTACTAAATACATCTAAACATCTTCTCATTTGCAAACAATTTGGTTTTCGATCCACTCACTCAACAACTTGTTAGAGTTTGTAACAACACCCCCTTACACACAAAATAATATATAAATAGTTAACTGCCTATAAAGAATTTAAATAAAATAAATCTTTATTAAAATAAATATTAACTAATTATTTGGCCAAATTATAAAGTTGTGATCGTCTAGTGGTAGGACTCTTTAGTTGTGTATTATATTTGTAGTAACCGTAGATTCTTTGTATGAAGGTGATTGTGAGTGGTTAGAGTATATGTTATTGAGGGCATGGAGAAGATTAGATCTTAAACTAATATATAAAGTATACCTAATAGGTAATAAAATATAGTTGTGTATAAAATAATAAAAGTAAATGTTTCTTCTTTGGCAAACAAATAAAATATAAGAAATGTTTATTTACTAAATTCAGCTTAAATATTTGAAGGAAAGTTATAGAATGAGTCTATTAAGTAGGAAAAAATAAGGTAGGTAAACAACAAGGGGGCGTCCATAAATTACGTGAGGTGTTTTTTCAAATTTTCTGACCCTCCCTCCCCCCCTGGTGAGATGTCGTGAGATTTTATTTAATCCCCTCCCCCATCCCCAAATCTCACGTGAGATTTTTCAAAAAGTGGGTTTCTTATTTAAACACGTTGGATTTTTTAATAAAAAGAAAAAAAAAATTCGCTTCGTACTTTTATTTACAACTAGTTAGAGACTAGTAATCCATATTGCTCTCATTCATCGAGTCACACGTTCAGCTGACAGTGGCGCGAAAACAAAGGACGGGCTACATTGTACCGTAAATTCAAATTAAATTGAGCTATTTGGTATAAAACGAGTATAGTGGTTTGACAATCAGGAGTGATGTATAATGACAAAGTACCAATGAAATTATTTTCTTTCCAACGAATTAGTGAATGATCTTAACCTTAGACTTGTCACTCTATGAGGGATTCCCCGCATCGAGCCTTATTTTAAAAATTGCGTGATATTTGCCGAGACCCCCCCTCTCTCCAACGTGAGATTAGATGAGATTTGACTCGACTCCCTCCCCCCCTTAAACATCTCACGTAATTTATGGACGCCCCCCAACAATGCCAGAAAATATGTAAAGAAAAGAAAATAATTACAGCATTGCTGATGTTTAAAGTGCTTTCGAGCCCCAACCACGCTCAAAGCCCAGGGCCCACCAGACGGCCCCTTAACCATTATTAACTCTAACCGGTCCAGCAAGGAATACCTTCCTAACCAGAAAATAAAACTACACCTCCACAAAAAAAAAGAATTGCTCTGCAAAAGAGCAATAGAAAACCTGATGTCCTCCATAAAGACAATGGAACATAGTTTGACATAGCATTAGCCATCGTCCACCGGTACCACGGGGAATGCGCCATTTCGACCACTCCAGTACGGGATAAGGAGACAACTAACACGATATCGCACAGGACCTCATCAATATGGAACACACGCCCAGGAACATTAGCTACCACATCAGAACGACACAATAAAGCGAAGCCCTATAATTATTTGTAAATATAACAGGCTTATTTGCCCTCCACTGAACTGATGGCACAAGTAATCAACCGAGCTATCTCTCACACTTCCGATACTAGCGGTGATCACCATCCTGACCCAGTATAGGATAGGCGTCATTGATACTGGTATCTCACCGAACCATACATTCAAATGGCGGACAACACCTACGATATTAACGAATAATTGGAACAACCCAATATTGTGACTTCTTATAAAACTATGAAAACCTAGTAATAAAAATAGTATGGACAGACTCAAAAGAGTCCAAATAAGAAAAAAGTGAAACACATAAGAATTCTCATTCCAATCTGGACCGATAGAAATTGAAAATTAGAATTACGAAACTGACTAGATTAATTCAAAGTGGTTATATTTTCTTATGTCAGGTTAGTTATGTGTTATTTGAGTAGTATGTTATGTATATAAATAGATAGTATAATATAAAACATCTGAAAGACATAATTATAAAGTAATTAATGATGAAACACACACATAAATCCTACTTGATAATAACCCCTTATCATAATTTATCTGCAATAATATACCGCTGTAGGGTTTTCCTATCAATTTCAAGGATACTTCAAAATTCGTCATCCATCATTCATACATACTATTTTGAATTACTGTGAATCGTTGTATTTTCAAGATTATATTATTTACTAAGAACGTATCGGATATTACTTTCATATCTATGTCAGAAAAATATAAAAATTGATAAAACTACGTTCCCTAATAGCACTTACTTGTGGTCCAAAGCGGAAGCCCTGAACCCAAACCTGTTAAACCACTCAGCTATGTTTATGCTCAAACCCGTATCGACAGCTCCTCCTTCAGCACTTCGCCCTTGTTCTGCTTCTACTTGAACACACACTGACCGACTTCCAGAGTTCCGCCCCCGTTGATCTCACTCGCCGAAAAAGATCCAGAATCACCTGCCTACTTCCTTTTATACACTTATCCTTTTTAGAACCTTCTACACACACACATCAACATCGAGTTCATTCGCTTTGGTTTAGGTACCCATCCCCTCAAACAGTCAAATCCATTACTAAATATCGTGATATTCTAGTAAATTATTATAATAAAACGATAAATCACTAAAAGAATTTACATATTAAAATGTTTCGATATATTCAATAATCATTCGTCGTAGTGTTGTCGTCAAATATTATCCTAACAAAAGAACAATGGCGAACTCCCATATAGCTTTGGACCTGAATTTTTAAAGTCCCGTTCATGAATGAAATAAACGTGTACTTGAAGGTATAAACTAAAGTAACAAAATCCCAATCGTCTTTTTCCTTTAAAAGTTGGGGTTAAAAAGATATGGCATAAAATACTTTGTGGGGTTATATATTGCATCTTTGCTTTTTCGTTGAATGGCCGTTAAAATAAATAAAAATGGTAACCAGATTACTCCGTTTAATAAACTAGATTAAGATAGTAACATATCTAATAATATCCAGACACTTATAATAGATGAAACATTTATAACATATGACTAGACTGTGTGGAGTAGATCCCTTTGCCTTTAATTAAATAATTACAACTGAAAGTGACAAATAAGGGCAATGTACACATTGAACTGTCATTGATATACCGAATCGATTGCCATTCGGAATCCAAAAGTAATGCAATTATCAACGTTAGTCAAAGAAACATGCTTAATTGTCAAGTTGAATATTAACATAAATATCAAACTCCAACAAACAAACCAAACTAATCATCCGCTATCATTCCACCATCATCATCATAGAACATTCATAGATGAAAACAAGTATGTCAAAATAAAATCAACCAATCGATTATTTAGAACAAAATAATCGATACGTTAACCTTTCATCGAATCAACTGCAGAACTGGCAATAATCTTCTTAAATCGGTTATGGTATCTTAGCTTTCAATTTTTTTATTACTCAAGTATTCAATTCGTAATTTGAACAAATAAAATAAATATTTATGAAAGTATTCAAAGATCGTATTTCATATAATATATTATATATAGATTTTATATTGAATATATATTTGACGTTCATTCGCTCAATCGGTACGCATCATTAAATCACATATCTCACTTATTATTAGCAGTTAATGACGACAGATAATATTCTATAGAACATGTTTAAAAAACTCGCGATTAGTTGAGAATCGCTTCTGACATCGTTGATGTATGTGATCGATTTTTCAAAAACCATCCAAACTACAACCCTTTGACTAGGGCATGGAATACCGGAATGATTTTCATACCGGTACTGATACCGGTATTAGACTTTCAAATACCGGTATACCGGTATTTCGGTATTTTTTCGGTATATTTTGAAATTACTGCTAAAAAACAGTAACTACTGTTTAAATAATTTAAAGAACGTTTAGTAAGTCTCCAAAGTAAAAACACTGAAACTATTCACTCCCTAGAAATCAAAAAAATAGTAGGTAATTAATGTAAGGTTATTAATTAAGGCATACTAAAGAAAATACGTTCTTTGATCCTAGTATCGTTCATTTATTGTTTAATTGGCACAAATATGACAATTAGCTCTCTAATAATAATAGAACTTATAACATGTAAGTTACAAAATTTTCAAACAAAATCAAATTACAAATGATGTTACTTATTTTAAAATTATTTATATCAAAGGCGCAATTCAACTTAAATCTCAATCAGGTAGATCGCGTTTGTTGTAAAATTGAACGAAGAAAACACAATGCGTCCAAAGTTGCGTCGTTCAACGATGATCTTATTTTGTTACAAATGTAACTTGCAGATGAAAACGCCCTTTCTGATTCAACGCTGGTGGGAGGAATGCTTAATAGGTACTTGTAAGCTGCATCCAAAAATCTGCATCTAGTACCTCCATTTTAAAAAGCTGGTGGAGTTAGAGTAGTAAACAAACGGCAACGTGCTCTCGCTTCAATAATATCAGCAGAACTGACCAAAGACTACAGTGTATAATAGGGAGATAGACAGGAAACTTCACGATTGAGCGAATATTGACCACCAGCGCCATCTAGTACA